TTTTAAGTTTGATGAAGCAGACTGGAGTTAGATTGGGTTTCAGACAGTTATGATAGGGATTTTACACTATTTTTAAACATTTTATACTCTGAACTTAAGGGATTATCAATGAGAAAATAATTGCAAAACCTGTTATGGATAAATATTACAGACTACTTTTTGTGTGTTAACTACTTGACAGATGACAAAACTAAAGGATGAAGGATGAAAGACACTGATATTGTAATTTAACTGTAATATTGTGATTAAATTGTGCAACATTATAACAAACCAGCGGCTAATCAAATTATGTAGACAGAAGTAGAGCAGAGTAGAGTTTTGGTCACACTTTGTCAGGTTGCTAATCCAGCCTTGTTGGTGAAGGTCTTCATACACTTCAGCCCACTAAAGTGCTTCATGGGCCTTAACCATGAGGCAACACCCAATTGTGTTGTGACTCCTGATATCAGACAGGCAGCAGCAGCTCAGGACTATCACCTCGTAGCTTCACTATCAGCTCTGTGGAGAGTAAAGTGCAGCCCCTGGAGGTTAAAGAACAACAGCAGAGCAAGACACAGTCGAAGGAAGGGCGTGGTGCGATCAGGAGGACTGTGCTGTGGCTGGACAAAGTGTCTGGACTGGTGGGCAAGATTTTATTGTTGTAATTAGACAATTGAATGCTCTCGTTTGCATTGATGGGAACACATTAACAAGAATGGCTTCCATCTTTCATCTCCACTATACTGACCAACACTTTCCACAGAGTCCTGCAGACGATTATCAAACTAAAGTCCAGAATTTTGTGTCTTCATGTGTGCAAGGCTTCCAGAGGAAATCCATCCAGTTCTCCTGTTACAGTTTCCTTCCTGACATATGAATGAATGAATCTGCAGAGACGGCAGCAATGGAGGGAAGTACTTTACAACATGTGGATGCAACAAGAGCTTTGAAAGATGTATTCCTGCCTTGTCATCACGTTTACTCTACCGCTAACCAGCTGTGTTATCGACCGGAACCCTTAACCACCCTGGTGATAAAAAACCTGCAGGTAAATATTTACTTATTAAATATGAAGGCAAATGCGCTGAGTAATATGAATTTCATTTGAAAGATGGAAGTGAGTGTGTGCAGCTGCTCTCTTACTCCCTCTGCTGGCAGAATATGCAAGACAGCAACACTATCAGAATCCCCTGGAGTTTTCTTATCAACAGTGATAGTTGCAGCATCACAAGCACCAGCTCAAGTTTAATCATCACTTTCTGTTCTCCAGAAAGTGTGTGTGCTCTCTCCTGTTTTTTTTTT